TTTCACACATTTGACTTAGGTCTGTCGCTGTGCTACCACTTTACAAAGAAAATATTTCTGGTATTCGATATACTTGCGCAATTTAATTGAATGTTGTTGGTCTTGTTCTTTAGACATTGCATTATCGTATACCGCACAAGTTTTGGGTCCTATTTATAACTCATTCGATCAAAGCCAGTCTGCCCATCTAATTTTCTTGCATTGCATCTGCAGGGCGCAAGTTCAAAGATACTCTGATGAAATTGTCTCACGGACGAACGCTATTCAAAATGGTTCGGATTGCGGCACTTTTTTTTTGAAAGATCAAGCGCGATGCGGTGTAGGGTACTTTATGGTTGGCCGCAGCCAACTAAAGTCTCTTCATTTGTTTTATACACATATGTAGGTAAAGATAAAAATACTAAATTGCTTATATATTGTTTCTTGGTCGTTCAAGACGAGTGTAAAACTAATCCACTCTAGCTAATATTCAAACTTGACTAGTGAAAGTTCACAAGGAAGAATTTATAATCAAACTGAAATTAAAAATTTCGAAATTTTTTTTTTAGCCATAACTTAAAAGAAATGATAAAAGAGCTTAGCATTTGTTGTTTGTCGACTTCGTCTTAATAGAGTGGCAAGAAAAAAACATGAAGATGACGCGGTCAGCGAGCATAGCTGCATCGATTACTCTATGCACGCTCATGGCTGTTGTATGGGCGTTAATAGGCCTATGAAGCATATATCTTCGGACAAAACCATATACATACATACACTCAGGCATTAGATATAATTTTTATTTTATTTAATTTATTTCATTTTATATGTTATATAATTTTACATTTCTTTTCTGGCTGTTTCGCGTTTCCATTGAATTTGTGACAAATTATCGGGCAGACGCTATGATATTAAACGCGAGCTAATTCGTGGAAATATTGTGAAGACATTTTCTTCAAATTTTAATATGAGTATTTTTTGCAGTATTTCCAATTTTATGACAACACTTGGCGAGCAAATGAAAATGTATAGTCATTAAAGACGGCCGACTAGCATTTAGTGTTGAAAGGTATTGATTAATAGATTTTCCCGCAATGGCAAAAGTATATATATAGACTTCGAAATCCATTGCAAATTGTGGCAATAGACAATCGCACTAGCCCTGTGTAGAATATTAATGCGTATGTTGAGTTGATTTAAATCAAAAGCTTGGGATCGTTGCGATCCATTTCAGAAAATATGATAAAAATGGTATTTAAAATTTCTGCGCAAAAAAAAAGGTTATCTTCATCACATTTTTTCTTCATAAAATCTGAAAAAGTTATTACAGCACGCTATGCCAGCTATGGGAGATAATTTTTTGGCAAAAACATTGTTTAAGCAGCTGTTTGTCAACAGACAAGTCCCGGTACTTTTTTGACAGAATACACTCATTCAATGCCTAAGATTGTGTTCATACACATATATGTGACATAATTGTTTCTTACCACAGCCCAACGTCACATACATGTGACAGACGTTTTCAACGATGTACTAAAGAATGGCCAAACATGTTGCGTATTGAAATAAAGCGGTCATATAATAACGAAAAAAAATGTTGGGCTGGTGTGAATGTTTTCCCCAAGAGATCCTGGCAGTGAGTAGGCTAAGTTAAGTCTTCCGCCTTCTTCCGGATGGAAGGGAATCGTCACTTTACTTTGATGGCGGGTCTGTTGCAGTGTTTTGAGATATACTGGCCGAGAGGTGTTTCACAAAAAATTTTTCTTTTGACATGTTACAATTTTTAGATTAATTGCGTCAGCTTTCTGCAATGTATCCGTTGTATTAATTTTGTCAGGTGATACCGTGGCTATCTGACAATACTATTATCCTCTATAGCGGAGATTTTCCTCTTCCTGATTAGCATTTACATCTACATCGTGTGCACTTTTGGGAATTTAGACGCTCCCCAACAGATAGCTATCTTCCATGACATATTAAGTACTACAGTTGCCAAGTCTGACTGAACAAGAGGTTATAAGTCAGAGATCGTTGCAGTTTTCTCCACTGACCTGCTAGCACCTACACCTACACTATTACCCCTATTGATTAGAATATTAAGCGAATTAGCTGACTGTAATTGAGAACAGCTCTTGGCTAGACAGGAACACGAATAAGTGCAGTCGCTCAAGCTGATTAAGTCAAGAGTCCACCATCATCATATTCCACGTAAATTGGCCACAGATTGGAATCTTGTGGGCAACCACGGTCACAAGCGATAAGATTTCATTTCGCCATGGAAAGATGGGAAATATATTGCGATGATAGCGGTGGACATTATTTGGATTAATATACATTTTCGACTTTTCTCTAGAAATAAACGGTTTTTCATTTGTTGAGAAGTCCGATAAAGGCGATTGCTTACAATGAATGCTTCTTCTTGCAGTGCATTGGATATTTGGTGGATATCATCACAACAATTGGGCCGATGCAACCACATTGAAATGTGGCAATCATTCTTAACTAAGCAAAACCTGTAATGAGAAGTTAATGGACGCTACAAGCTTAAGCGAAGTTTGCGCTGTGTTTGTGGCTTAAAGACTGTTTCGAGAGATTACTGACTTCCCGCCGCATTCTTGTTATTATTGCATAAATTGAGATCAAATAGAGACAGGCCGTGAATAGTTTATGTCTTCAATTTTTGGGAAAAATTGGTTCTTTCTTCATTTTTTTTTCTTTTTGCTATCCATAAGAACAATTTTTCGTTTTTTTTTTTTTTTGCTCTTTTTTGTTTAACCTTGACTTGAGGGTTGTTGTCTAACAACGTTTGTTGAACTTTTTTCTATATTTTCGGACGTCACAGATATTCAATACCAATCGTCTTTTGTTAGAGCTTTTAATTTAAATTCAGCTGCCTATCTTTTTAAGATGGTAAACGGATTCTATAAGAAAAAGTAACGCGTTCCAAGCACATTAAGCAAAAGTTTGCACAGATGATTTGCCTTTTAAATGAAAAGAAAAGAAAAAAATTATATTATTTTTTTTTTTTTACACTTAATGAATATTAACACAATGCCCATAAGCAACACCACAATTGCAAATATCAGAGGACAGAATGAGTGAGCGGTCAAACAAATTAACTTATTATAGAATTTATCTTAACAAAAGAATTTCGATCATTGGGAAAAGCACGATGCATTTTAGCAGCAAGATGACGAACTGAATTGTTTTAACGCGATCCATTTTGCATATATCTATCCTTTATATGCTGTATAGATAACATTTTAACCTATCGCAGCAATATGGATATCTTGTGTATGCAATATTTTCAAAACGTAAAGACCAGCTCTAATGAGCTCTTACGGATTTGTGAACAAAGCTATAAACATAAGATAAGTAAGTAGTAAGCTTTCCAGCTTGGGATAGGGATGAGAAGAGACAATTAACTCTTATTGCGGTCAGACTACACAAAGCAACGTTCAAATGTTTTTAGCATCTCTTACCAGTAGGGGGGGTAGACATGCTCTCTAAATTTCCTTGCCCACCTAGTACGTAAAATAAATCAACCGCAATTTATGACTTTGCACCTAAAAGAGTTTACACTTTAAAGGATGACTAAGACAAAACAAATTAATCTTTCGGGCATTGGAGGATTAATGAGAGTGAAATAACGCATAAAAGAGATTGCATACATTTAGCATCGAACTTTGGCTACTCATCGCCGGTTAAGATCCTAGGTTGTATAAATTCATGACAAGCGTTGGCAACCTTGTGTTAAGATAAGTACTATGGCAATCCAGTCTCCTCTTGTAGAGTTGCTTGTGTCACGCTTTTTTTTCCTCGCCTTACTTCTTCTTCGTTCAATTCATTGGGCGAAGACTCAACAATTTTATAAAATTTGGCAGCATCTTCATATAGGGCATCCGTCTTATCTTTGCATTTTCAGTTTACTAAATGCGGGCGAATGACTCTGTCAATTTGCTCAATATCTGTAAGTTGTCCAATCCACACAATTATATACAGATATAAGTAAGTAAGTTGGAAACCTTTTAGAGTAAATTTAATCTTGAAATGTTATTTTAAAGGAAAATTAGTGGATTGAAGAAAGCATGATCGCGCAGTTTATTAAGTATATTTCTTAGAAGTAAGTTTTGCAACTTTCTCAGAATTGAAATATTGACTGACGATTTCTTTTCATTCTTAATCAATTGTGTCACTTTTCGAGCTCCGTTTAGTCAAACAGTTAAGCAGCGTGACTGTCAAGCCGCTGAGTTCAATTTGCAGGGTGTGAGTGGACCATACTTAATTGCAATTGGCATGTTCGCGTGGAATAATACTTAGCGATCGCGCGCACACACGACTCACTTATCTCTTGCTCCCTCTCTCTCTCGCTCTCCCAGTGATTGTCGCCGTGCTACATGTATAGAAGGCAGGCCCCGAAGTGATGAAATATTGACGACATTGATTTTACTAGCACTTGCTGTCTCACAGTTTTAGTTAATCGCTTGCCAAGTTTCAAATATTGATGATCTATTTTTCACACTTAAGCTACCCAAGCTTCCAATAATAGTTGATTGTTTTTGTTTCGATGAACGTTTTCTTTTTCATTTTTGCTAATTCCTTCTTTAAGAGTTTGAAATATTTATTATTTTTGTTCTCTCTCTCTCTCTTTCTTTCTCTCTGTCCTCATTTCTCAGGTTTACAATCGTGGTCAAGTTTCATTTTCACTTTCTAAGTTTGAAATATTGGAGAGCCTTTGTCCTAAAATTATTATTTCATTAAAATATTAATAACCATATTTTAGTTACATCACTTGGGTCATATTCGAAAGCTTTTCCATTTTGAAACTTTGTTGATGATATTTTCTTGCTGAGCACTATTTTGCTAAAATTTGAAGCGTTAATGACTTCCGCATTGTTTTTTCATCGTTTACGAAGCTTTCTAACCTTAATCACTCCAAGAATTGCCCCCCCATGTTTGCCAAAACGGTTCAAACAGTGAGGTAATCGCTAAAGGGAGTGCCCTTGTGATCACCTCAGATAAAGATAAACTTATGAAAATTTTTTTCTCAACAATTCTTGAAGACATTATTTTAACTTTGATAAGCAGCAGACAGATAGACTGACGTAACTTAATCCGCTGCGTTCATCACGCTGATCACGGCTAGAAGGTTCGCTGAGCTGTTCTTTAATGTACAAGTTTTCGAAAGATCTACGAAAAGCAGAAAGGAGGGGGGCGGGTATAAGAATAATGAGAAGCGAAGACAGAAAGTAGTAAAGAAATCAATAAATATTTTTAGTCAGAATTTAACTTCATTCACTATGTATATAAACATATGCAATATAGTTCGAAGTGAAAACTTCGATTACACTTTTAGTTTATCATCAATGTATTACTATTTTGAGACTTATACCACTTTTTCGCTGATAGAGGTTTTGGTCTTCGTAGGCTGTTTCTTTTTTTTTTTGGATTACCGACGCATCCTCTAAATTGTGCATAAATGTCATGTTGAGTTAAGTGTGAGAGAGAAAAGTAGATTTTCCGAAAGTAGCCTTAGCATAACGTCTTGTAAGCATTTTGAACGCGCTGAGTAGCTTGGCACCTATTAAAATCAAACTGACGTAAGTTAAATAAAAAATTGTGTAATGCTAGCGACGAAAATTTCAAACACTGTCCTCTTCTGCCATGCCTTACAGAAACGTTCGAAATCATCCCATCAATTGTAAATCCTTGTGGGCAAGCCTGGTTGGTTGCAAAACAAAAAGCTCTTCAAAATTGAAATATTAACAATATTTATACCCTACACCACTTATGGAGGGAGATGTAGTTAGGGTAGATCCGCCTTTCATTATACCGATCGATTCAAAAATGATACTCTGGGCTTGTGTTCAACCTGCAGTTCGCAATTTTTCATAAATTTTGATGAAACTTGGTAAACTTTCCATATAACGCCCTTTTTTATGAAAAGTCGATAAAAGAACACGTGCAAGGCAGAATAGGTATTTAACCAAGGGATGTGGCCCATTGAACTGTTCTTATTTGTTTTTATTATAGTAGTGGAAATAGTAAGTACGAAAATAATAACAGTAAATGGAAAAAAGTGACCTAACCTAACTTACCAAACAAGATATTCGCTTTCAAGTGCCGCCTGCATGTATTCGCGAAAAATCAAACAAGTCATCTGGGTGCAGTCCGTTACAGTTCGTATACAGAGCCATCAAATACTAAAAAGAGAAATTATACAGTTATTCCGTTATTATAAAATAGTAATATAAGTTCCAAAGATCGAATTAATATAAATTCAGAGTCCTGCGTCCGTCCGTCTGTCTGTCCATGCGATATAAAAATCGACGTGTTAACTTCCTCGCTTCTAGATTAATCCTGAGAGTTAAATGTGTAAATAAGTTTAAATTGCCCCCAAAGACGCGCCAAAAAAAAAAAAAAAAAAATTCACGAATGCTCGCTTTCGATTGCTTGATTTTTGTATTACTTACTATATAACAACTATGGACTTGAAACATGTGTGAGAGGCGATAAAGAGTAGTGTAAGTCGGTGTTGGATATCCAAAATTCACCCTAAGGTGATTATGGTTGAAACGCTTGTTGGTTGTCACTCTAGAATGAGATGGCAATGAACTTAAAAAATCGAAATAATAATAGAATTTATATAAATTTTATAAGCATATCATAAAAACTAATTACATGAATTAATTATATATGATTAATATGATTAATATTTTTACAATTTTTTCTCTCCTTCTCTCCCTCCTTCTCTTTAACAGAATACGAGACTTACAAAAAAATGTAAAAAAAAAAAATTTGTAATAATTAAAAAAAAAATTATAATTATTAATTAAAAAAGAAGCAAAAAAAAAAAAAAAAAACAATTAACTTCCTATATAAATGTAATCAACAAGAAAAAAAATTGAATGTTTAAACCGTGTAGTTTAGTGTATAGTTTTTACTAAATGCTGGTGTTTAACGTAGATTCACCTTGAAAACTGTAAGCTGTTGACGTTTGATGGCGTCATTTGGCTTAAAACTCTCAGGCCAGAAGTAGTGGATAGAAGAAGTAAAATATACACATATACATATGTACATACCAATATACCAATAAACCACCAGTAGAATTAGCAGCAGCAGCAGCAACAACAACAACAACAAAAACACAAAAACCAATATATTATAAAAGTGTACGCGGATTAAAATACTCTACGTTATAAACTCTAAATTTATCTACTACTACTTAGAGCTAACTATAGCTACAACATCAACAGCAACAAAAATACAAACTGCAAGTAACTAAATACAAAATTCAACCAAAACGACCTCAAGCAACAAGCAACTTAAGCTACCTAGAAGTTAGTCACACTAGCAACAGCAATAATAACAACAACAATAATAATAATAATAATAATAATAACGAACAGGAAAACTGAAAAAAAAACCTCTAACACACAGCTAACTCCCCTAACTGATTAATCATACATAGCACATATGCAACCGTGTGCGTATGCGTTTGTATGTGTATATATGTGCGTGTATGTGTGCGTGCTTGTGTACAAAGGTAACAAATTGAGTGAGTAACAATACATTTACATAAATGCACGCCTAAGTGTATACGAGCATATATGTATCCGCATATATATGTATATAGATATATAACGCTCTCAGGCCAAAACCGATACACTGCCAAGGAGAACCTAATATAAAATAAAGCAAAAAAAAAAAAAAGAAAAGATAAATAAAAAAACAGAACACTTGCTGCCATTCATTGTTTGCTCTGCCAGAGATCATATAGCAGACAATGTAATAACAACAAAAACAACCACAATAATATTCATAATAATTTAATTGTAAAGAAATCAAAATTTCAAAGGTGAGCAAATTTAGTTTTATATAAATTTTTGAAGAAGAATAAAAAGAGGCAAACAATCAATCATTCCTTCCCTCTGCTCTAAGGATCTTCGCGAACGAGAAGAACGGAGAGAACTCAAATTTTTTACATTTAGTTGTCCTCTCTGAAACATGGTACTTGTATCAGAATTAAATAATTGTCATCAGCAAGCATACCTTGAAGAAGAAACTTTACTCTTGCAACATCGAGAACAACAGCAGTTACAACAACAACAACAACAACAACAACAGCACCGCCACCACCACCAACATCATCAACAGCAGCAACAACAACAACAGCGCCATCATCAACAATTAATTGCATTAACTAACGATGATCAACAGATAATAGAAAATTTTGATGAATTTAGCGACAACATTATCACCAATAATATTTTAACTAACACCAACACTAACACGAGCAGTGTTGTCGGCGACATTATTGAAATTGACACAAGCGATGGTTTTAATGATATTGTAGAGGAAATTGAAGATATTTTTGAATTTGAACAATTGCAACAACAACGCGAAAGGCAAATTAATGTTATTTTAGAAGAGGCAGAAGAAGAAGAAAAAGAAGCAGAACCAGAGAAAGAGGAAGACGAAGAATTTGAAGAGAAGCAAGACATTGTTGTGAATGCAACAGCAAGTGATATAAAAAGTTTTCTGCTGCACAAGGAAGAGATAGATATAAATAGTAAAAGCCGAACGTCGTTAACGAAGTTATCAGCAGCGACTTCAAATATTACTCATACTAAAGTTGCTAAACCAACAACAACACCAGCAGCCGCAACACTAACAAGTCGCAAAATTTTTACAGCTGTTAACATATGTGCAAGCAATATTAACATCGGCAACAACAACGACAACAACAACATTATTATTAGCAATATCACAAATACAGTTGCTTTAAATAATAATAAACGTCATAGTAGTAGTGGTGGTGACAGTAGTCACGGCAATAGTGGTGGTGGCAATTGCAACAATAACGACAGCCATAGCAATAGTACAACAAGCAATAGCTGTAACAGCATTAATAGTAATAGCAGCAGTAGTAGTTGTAGCAGCAGCAACAGCAGCAGCAGCAGAGGTGATGATTGTCTGAACGCGAATGCCATAAAATTTAATTTTGAAAATAATTTAAATTTTACCAATTGCAACACAAACAACATTAGTAATAATAATAATAATAATAATAGCAACAACAACAACAATAACAACAACAACAACATTAAAAATAGCAATAACCATATAATTAGTTCCATTAAATTTGAAACATCTCCCATCGTCCGATCCCTTATACCTATTAACGCCAATAACGCCAATAATAAAATGGACCAACAACATCAACACCAACAACAACAAAATGTCATCTTTGGCTCTCAACGCGTTAATATGAATTCAAGCACACCATATTCGGATGCAACGCAAGTAAGTGGAAACGAAAAAAACGCATACTAACCGCCTACACAACTGACATTTCTCCCCCAAGCAGAAAATATATATTTTTTCCTTTCCTCTTTCTATCAACCGAGAGTAGTATGAGTAGTCAAAAAAATGTTGCGGTCGATAGTAGAGCTAATATCAAGCAATCTGAAGTCTAAGTTAAGTGAACAAAATAGATTTTGCTGTCTTGAAGGCTTAATATTTTTTAGACTCCATAATATCGACTTGGCAAATCTTCCTTTTCGGGCTTATGTTTGAAAGTTACCTTTTATGAGCTTTTTTATATACATTCCTGTTATTTATTTATTTATTTAATTTTTTTTTGCTAAGGTTTGATATAAACAAGCGAAACCATTATAATGGGACGCGATCGACCATTAACTACCCTACACTACTTCATTCAATACGTTTATTTTATATAATGAATATTTAAAAAAGAAACAAGTAGGAGCATTACAGAAGGGCAAGACTGCCATTAAGTACCCTACACCAATACCCCTAGTACTATTATTCACTCATTTTTGTAATAACAAAAACTATTATAATTACAATTACTTGCTGGCAAAGGCACACTTTTCAGTAAAGCCTGCATATCGAAGGATGTCAAAGACACCATATGGCCTAACCCAAATTTAGAAAACTTGCTTTATTCCCAGAAATTTTATTGCTTCTCAGTTTTCGTCATAGAAAACTAAAAACTATATTTTCTACGTAAGGAGTTCGTCTTCACCGTAACTTTTATATATATATGAGGGTCTACAAAATAGATCTATGTGATCCAAATACCCTATCGTTAATTTTTGTGGTAAATCTCTGCTGTGGATCTATTTTCACCAAAACAAACCTTGTTCTGAAGAGGGTACTGTTCATGAGAAATCTTATATGCAGTAGGTTTCAATGTAGATCAAATTTGGTCTGCTTAATTTCTATGTCAAATTACTATTATGAAACAATTTTCGTCATAAAATGTTAATCATGGGTTTTTTTGGCATATAAAGGTTTACATAAGATTGATCTTTTTGTCAATTTACTATATTATATAAAGGACCGGTTTTCGCAGGGCCGGTGTTATGAGAGAAGGTTCAAATAATTGCTCCAGCCAGTTGAAAGTTTTTATATCAATTTAGAACGATTAAATACTATTACTTAGCCACTTATGGGGAGTGGTCGAAAAAGTGGACTGGTCCGAACTATTTTCAATCGCATTGGTCCTTGAGTCAAAGCACGTCAGTGTACCAAATTTCATTAGAATGTAGTTTAAATAAAAATTTACACGGACAGACAGGCTTGGATTGATTGAGAAAATGCTTTTGAATGATCTCTATAATAAATGATCTTAAGCCCTTCTGCGTGTTGCATACGTGCGCACAAACTCAATATACTCCATACGACAATTGGTGTAGGGTATAAAAATCTTATATGGGAAGTGTTCGAAAAAGTGATCGGATTGGAACCGTTTTCACTAGCGTTCGTCCTTGGGCGTAAAGATATCGTTGTACAAAATTTCATTGAAATATCTTAAAAACTGCGAACTATACGTTGAAGACAAGAAAATAAGACAGACAAGCTTAGATCGACTCAGAAAGGGATTCCGAATAGATCGATGTAATAAAGGCTGGGCTTATGTCAAGTTCTTCTGTGAATTGCATACATCCCCTCTTATCGTCGTGCCACCAGTAATGTCGGGTGTAAATATATAACTAATTAAAAGAAAATAAAAATTTATCTTTGCCATAATTGTGAATTCTTGATTGCTATTGTCTTGAAGATATAATAAATGGAGAATCAGTTCGTCATTTGCGAATATCGTCCTTTAAAGGCGGTTTTGATAAAAATATGCACCAAATATCTCTGTGAATGTCTCTTGTCGACTGCAAAATATTATTTCTTACCTATTGTAACCTAGGTTGGTTACCTACTTAATATTCGCAATTCCAAATATCAGCCATGAATTGTTAGTTACGGGTTTCCTCCTATCTGGGGTGTAGTTTTTATTTCCAAAGTTGGTTTATATCTCTCAACTGTGAAAAGTATTGAAGAAGGTTCGCCTTTCTTCCTCAACTGTTTGTGGTCTGCTACAGGCTTCTTCAGTCTTGATCAGTGTATGGTAAGCTTTCCGATCTTGCCAAGTCCCTGTACTCGTCTCTCCCTCTATCTTTTCGTTTTTAATCCCTATGTTTAGTCTTGATCAACGTGATTGAAGCTAAGAACCGTTCAAAGTCAAGGAAGTTACAAATCGTCCAGCTCTAAGATTTATGTTCAGTTTCGACCATTGTCACATGTACCGTCTATGGAGCCATACCTTGGCGTTCCTTCACCTGTATGCAAGACTACCGCTTCGTCTGCGATTCTGAGCCGATTCGTATCCTATCTTGACAAATTTAAAATTCTAAATGGATGAAGTAAAATTACTACATTGGTCGCGTTTGCATGTCCGTCCAACTGCATAGTCGTCATCAGCGTAAGTCTGTGTTTGATTTTCACTGTTAAAGTAGAAATTCGGCAAATAAGTTGACGGCCGCGAATTTCGCTTCAAAATAGGAAATAAAATTCGATTGACTACATTGACCTTGGAACAATTCCTTTATTATTTATCAGTTTAAACATAAGTAAATCAAAATTTTGCATTTTGGTAATTGTCGCCATGTCAAGGGATCGGGATCATGTTTAAATCGATCTCTTTAATTTTTGCAACCATGACTATCCAAAGCAGCAGCGAATAGGAAGACGTATACACGCGATCGACTAATTAAAGCTATAACATATTCTCTTTACTTATGATCTGTTCTTTTTAATTCTCATTTTAAAAACTACGCGGCGGTGAAAGTGCCAAGAACAAGTACATGGGGAGAGTTAAAATGATTCAGAAATCTGCACATATGCGTGTTTAAGGAATTTCAAATACATCTTAATGGGTCCTACAAACGGAAGAAAAAATTTAATGTACCCCTAACTAACTCGTGCCAAGTATAACTTCTAGTACAACTTCTAGTTCTAGTTAACAATTGCATGAGTATATAAATATTTCAAATATTTCATTATGAATACATTTAAATATATCTGATTGAAATTGAAATTATATTTCAAATAAATATTTCCCGAGAAGCAATTGAATTGTGAAAATTTGTTTGCGATTAACTTCAAATTAAAAAAAAGTTTCTTTTTAAATTTCATTGATTTGTCAAAAATGCCCCTCTTGAAGATTCTGCTTTTGAGTCTTTATAAGGCCATATTCCCATTTATAAGTGGTGTAGCATTTCTTTTGTAAGGCACTGTAATCACATACATGTTGGAATCACTTATGAAACCCCCAACGTTTTTTTTTTGTTATATTCGTTAAAAGCAATCAATTATGATTAAAATAAATTGCACAAAATCGCGGTTATTTACTTATAATAAAGATAATAATCTCGCTTCCTTCTTTGCGGTCTATTTATAAACATTATCTTGAAAAATTGGGCCAAAGATGTTAACCATAACGTGTTGGCGATAACGCGAAGAAAATTAATTTTCGTACATTGCTGCTTAAATAAATTGCGAAAAGCGAGATTGAATTCCTAAGCTTAAAGAAGCAGATAAAAAATTATGCTAATTAATAACTTAATTGATCAAAAATTGAAAAACCCGAGTCCAAATGCCTGTCATGGTAATCACCGAAGAATGCAATGCGTCTTCACAAACGGATGACATTTAACGCTTGGTAAAAACTATTGTAACCGCCATATACCTCTCTCTCTCTCTCTCTCTCTCATTGCCCAACATTTTGTGTTGCAATCCTTGCATTCAGCAACCTCTGTCTACAAAATCGTTTAGTATGATTGTCGGCTAAAGGTGTTCGAGCAGCTAGCAGAGATAGACAGGCATCTTTAGAAGTGCTGTATATCGCAATGTGTACGTCAAGTTTAAATAGAGAAGAAAGAAGTGTATATGTAAGGTGGGTACAGAGTTTTTCGCAAAAGGAACAAAAACAGCTGTTCGCACATCTGTTATCATAATATAGTGAATACCTAAGATTTAAAGGTCGAATAACTTGTATTCTAAATTCAGTTCCGTTGAATTATTTCATCTTTTCAAGCCGGGAATAATGGTTCAGCGGCAAAAGCCTTGTCAACAGTTGCAGTTGATATTTAAGTTGAGCAGTTGGAAGTTATAGTCCTGCTTCTCGCTTCATAGACACATATGTGAGCTGTCAAGCATCGCTGGGCTATCGGTGTACGAACTTAAAGGCAGTGTAGCTGTTCCTCTCAATATGGTCTAAAGTACTTTATATTTTCTTTGTAAGGCCCGACGTTTACCTTTGTAAAATTCCGACTGAGTAGCAGAATAGATAAAAATTGCTGCCTTCATCACGTGAGTATTCGCGAGTATTCGCGAGTTCAAGTCTCAATGTGATTAAGCTTACTTTGGTCGCAGGTATGGTGTGTGCACAATCGTGGGTTGGTTAGGCCACGCCCATCTCCCTATTGTTTTATTTTTTTTTACTCTTTTCTGAATGTCGCCGCGTTAGACGTATCTGGGACATAACCTGACAGATTGATCATACATACAAGAATCAAGTAATAAGCGATCAAAATACAAGTATCTTTTCACTTAAAATAGTCTTACGCAGCTTGGAACACAGCGAGTTTTTAGCTACACTAGTAAAAACGTGTTGAGCAAAAAATCTGAAAATCGCAAAAAAACGCCTCACTGAATGCTCAATTCCACCGTCAGCCATATCTACCTACTGTATAATACAGTATTAATTTTCCTAATCGTTATTGGGAAGCAACCTTTTGCATATATATATACTTTTTTTTTTTTTTTTTTTCTTAGACATCATAATTTCGATCAGATAAGATAATTAAAAAATTTGAATTGTGTATAAATCCAACTACCCCTACAGCAAGGCATCATTTAACTTGTGCGAACAGAACAGAGAAGTGATTCAATATTCCTTTGATGACTGCTAAAGGTTAAAGCGCAACGACGCCAGCTAAAATAAT